GAGGGGGTGGGGCATCTCGTTCGGCACTGCAAACACTCCGCCGCACCCCGCCCCCGCGCCGCTCCGCACGGCGCACGCTTGGTGGACATCAGGTAAAATGAGGTCAGCCATTCACCATTGCCGTGCCGGGGGGAAGTAGAAGAGGAGGGGGGGGGGAGGAGGAGGAGGTTGTAGCATCACGGAGGACCCCCAGCCTCAGCCCCTGCCGCGCTGCAGCTGCTGCAGCAGGCAGCATCGCCCTTTCCTCCGCCCTCGGTGCCCTTTCCCCTCCACGACACGACGAGGGAGCGCGGCGGGCTCCCTATCCCCTATCCGGCCGTTGCGTACGGATGCTAAAGTGCACCCGACTGAGTTAGTACGGCCCTTTAACCTGAATACTTCTCCATCAGTCCCGTCTCTCTCCGCTCCCGGCCCCGCTGCCATCTCCCTCGCTCTCTCTCCCTCCCTCGCTCTCTCGCTCCCTCTCACTCACTCATTCACCTCAGCACCACGTGGCGGCGCTAATGGCTTGAGCATGAGGTGTCAGCAGAGCCCCCCTTCCCCCCCTTTCCAAAGATCTCGGGCGAGACTTCCTTCCTAGGGTCCCCCCGCGAGGGAGAGCGCTTCGGCTTTGGCAGCTCGGGGGGGTTGTTTAGTGTGCGGATGCAGACGAGACGAGCGGAGCTTGTGCCGCAATGGACCAATAAAAAGAGAAAGGCCATCTCGGAAAAGAATGTAAAAGCGATCCATTCCATAATATTGCAACAAACTTACCGAGGGCTTGACATTGCAAAATCTTGGTCCTTCCCTCCGCGACGATGGGCGAGGAAGGCTGCGAGATGAACCGAGGCGCTTGCAGGGACTCTGTAAAACAAGACGATGCACACCATTAGAATAACACAAACGTTGGCCAAGTCAGAGAACAACAACAAGAAAAAAACACAATGGGCGACATGTTTCCTCAGAGCACATTTCCCATACGCACACACCCGCCCCCGCGCAGGCTGCTCTCCTCGGCTCGCACTCGCAAATCGTACCCGACGTGACGTAAGTAGGCGAAGCGAGACAAGAGCAGTCGGTAGGGGCTCCGCGCCACTGCAAGTTGCAGTCTGAACAAACAACAACGGCGCACTCGCACTGCGCGAGCTTCCATCGGCTCTATTGTAGTACCACCCGCCCACGCAGCCACCGCCCCGGTGCAAAGTGCCGTTCTCATGGAAGGCGACCTGCTGTCAGGTGCAAGAGGCGCCCCCCAGGAGAAGCCTAACGGCGGAGCAAGGTGCAAGAAGCGCCCCCAGGAGAAGCCTAACGGCGGAGCAAGGTGCAAGGAACACCCAGAAGGAGACTAACGGCGGCGCAAGGTGCGGGTGCGAGAGGCGCCTCCCAGAAGGAGCCGACGAAGGAGTCGGCCAGGAAGTACGTCGCTTTTCTCAGGTTCGTTCGTCAATTTCAAGGAGCTCGGCGCCCGCGAAAATAAGGGTAGGCAACCCTGGAGTGCATTCGTGCACTTCAGGCGAGATGTTGCCTACCGATCAGGCGCTGTGGGGGCTGCCATTAGCTGAACTGGGCAGATTTCGTGACGGCATATGGCGGACGTACTTTTTGGGTGATTCCTAACGGCAGCCCAGCCCAAGGTGCACCCCCCCCCCCCCAAGGAGCCTAACGAAGGCGACCGCACGCACACGCACGATAAGCGCTAATGCTATCCTCCTCCACACATCAAGGGTTTTTATTTGCGTCCGCGGACGCGCACACCTGACCCACATCGAGGCGAGCGGATACAATTAGAAATAATGCCCTTGTGATGATGAGCCGAAGGAACGCACTTCTCGTAATGAGGATAATGACTGGCGGAAACGCTAACGTCGTCTGCTTATTGCGCTTCAGCAGACGGCTCGGCTCGGCTCGGTTCGGCTCGGCTCGGCTCGGCGCGAGGCGTCGCGGACCCGAGCCCTCTGCCTAGACAAATGGAGCGTGAAGCCGCAGATGGACGCGGCCCGACGCCTATAGGCGCGCCTCCCCCGAGCAAAGCCTTGGCGCAGCCTTAGCGCCCCGGGGTCGGCGGGCGCGCGACCGCAGCAAAAGGCACGCCTAAAAAAATAATAATAATAAAACCAACCAAACTGTGGTGGGTATAATAGAAAAATTGAGTGGTCGAGTCCATTGCTTTGTAGAAATCTAGAAAACTTGGCAGGGTTATCTTTTAGTGTGAGTACGCTTCCTTCGCTGGGAATCCAATTGTACAAATGCAGTGCAGGTGTGCAAACAGAATTTTTACCCCCCTGCGACACCATTCCCACACTTATTGGGGACGGGCTGGAGACGGGTAAATGGCCACATTTTCAAGTGTACGAATTTCTATTTGCTCACCTACAAGTGAGTGCATATTTTGTCACACACCTGCAGGTGTGTGAATATTTTCTCAACGGCGAGCGACATTTGTAACTCACACTCGTATTTTCGGTGCATACACACTGCTGACTCTGAGCCATATTTCTCTCGTATTTTTTTCTGTGTGACACAGTTGTCATGTCCTTCTCTCTGTGTGTGACAGCATTCGTCACACACTTTCAAGTGACCGGACCATGGGAATGACGCACACTTTTACTTGTGTAGAGTGAGGCCACGGTGGCCCGTTGCATGGCCCGTCGCTTGCTGGAGACGGATGGACTGGACACCGAGCAGACCTGAGCTGAGTCACCCCCGCCCGGCTGCTCCGGTCGGGATGCGACCGGATCCGACCGGGACTGGGATCGGGGTGGGTAGGGGATCGCGCCGCGCGTCATCAGGGACGCATCCCGCTCTCGCCGCGATGGAAACAAACGAGGAATTGATGGAGCGCAGCGGAGGCAGCTGGGGCTAATTACTGCAGCAGCAGCAGCAGGGCAGCCCTCCACGTAAAGCGTGCAGCGCCACGCAGGTCGGAACTATCGGGCAGTGAAGCCGGCGTAAAGCCCCTGCCGTGACCATTTACAACATTTTCGGCTGGAGATTGGGAAATAATGTGAATTGGATGGTTGCATTGTGCGGTAGCGCCGCCGCTGCTGCTGCTGCTACATAGTCCGAGCAGGGCGGGCTGCTGAGCCAGGAGGCTTTCCCCCCGGAGCGCGCCTTTCCTGTTATCGCGGGATCTTTGAAAGCGTCGCGGCGGGGCGGGGCGGGGCGGGGCGCCGGGGTGCGAGGAGGGCGACGCGAGGCTATAAAGGAGGACGAGACGCGACGACCCTTTTCGGTTTTATACGGCCCTCGGCCTGGCAGGCGCGGGGCGCCTGCCGCCGCCGAGGAGGATAGAATGGGAATGTTGGGGACGCGGCGGCGGCCTAAAGCCGAGCTTTGCTTTCGTCACGGCCATCAGGGACCTGTTTGGAGCACATCACACTGCTGCGCCCCGCAGGAGGACATGGGATGGGGCGTCCTGCTGTCGCCGTCATCGGTCCTGTTGCGCGGGATTATGTATACACTACTGGGCCGCACGCCTCGCACTGCACGGCGAGTGACCCAGGCTCAACCAAAAACATGTGCAGTTCACTAGCATGTCGTAAAATGGTAAAATTACAAGCGCTATGCATTTGACTTGGGATTCATCGACGAACAAGATTGTGGTGTCATAAGATTACGACATATTTTGCGACTATTAACACGTTGAGTCCCACGTGACCACACGCGTGGTCACGATAACACGTGTTAGCTACCCCCCTGGGACTCAACTAATTACAAAATATATTTCGTAAATTTTTGAGGATAAATTTTTGACAGTGAGCGGCTGCAGTGTAAGTGCAGCATACAGCGAGGTCATCTCGATGCATCGATGCATGCGCGGTTGCTGCGTTGTGCGTGTGTGATAACGTGATAACGGGTTCATCGCAGGGCAGAGAGCGGCAGACGCGAGCAGAATGGTACAATAATGCAAGCGCTGGCTGTGTAACGCCCAACTATACAACGACTAGGAATACCATATTTTCTTACCTATACTTATTTCCGCATAGAACGAATTACTATGTCCGTTATCAGTATCCCTAGGTAAAAATCATTCATGTTGTGTGAGTTGGAGTGTGTGTGTGTGAGTACCGGTGAGTGTGCTCGCGTCTATGTCGGGGGACGGCAGGAGCGAGCATCTCCAGAACGATAGGAACAGGAGCATCGCTTTCACATGGAGCCACGACGAGGGATCCGTGTGCGCCACCGAGACACAGCAAACAAGCAAACTTCAAAAAGGAAAGAGAAACATTTGAAAAGAGAGAATAATAAAAATTCTATGATGACGACATGCGCTGACAAGGTCCTTCTCCTCATTGTCGCCGTGCTGGGCTGTCCGCCGCCCCGGGGCTCACCACATACTTGGCATAGCCGGCCGCAGAGGCGCCCCGCCCCGCCCCGCCCCGCCTCGCTGTCCCGCGGCTAGCCTTTAGCCCGCCTCGGCCGTTGACCCACCGCGGACGGGCCCGCGGCGTGGCGCGGCGGGGCGGGGTCAAACATCACTCACTCGTCAATGGGGCCCACTACTCAATCAGCGCTCGCGCGCGAACTCACACGTACATACCGTACCGCAATCACGTAACGTTCGATATTCTTCTCACGACCCGTACGCCCACCCCGACCAGGCAGGAGCTGTACAGGGCCAACTCCACATTGTGCATGTTAAATCAGTTTCAGTACTAGCTTTCATTTAGTAAAAATTATTGGCACAATTTTTTATAACTTTTAAAAACTCATAACATGCATGCAGGCACTCGGATTACGTTAATTGTTCGGTAATTTCACATTCATTCTTCAAAGTTCGACATGCGAGCTGCCTCGACCGACCTTTTGCGCGCTCCTCATCGCAATGCGTACACAACTTTTTTTTTGCGTGTGTGTCACAAAACATGTCCGCGAGTAATTGCACGCGTCGCTCTCACAGGGAGTCTCACAGAGAGGCGCACGGCGCACTTTTTGTAACTTGTAGAGCGCACCATCATGGCGCGTTTCGTGTCTGCGTGCGATCATCCCGGCACAGCTGGGGGACGCGCCGGCGCGTCGAGGTGGCTGTCGCGGAGCGCCGGGAACGCGCTTCAGGTCTTTAGCGTCGCAACGACTCAGGGCACTGGCCGTCCCGTCCCGCCTGGCAATACTCAGGTGGACAGGGCGCAAACCGGTCAGGAAGGAGCCAGCCGGCTGGAGCTGCTGGAGAAGCTTTGTGCTGCGTGCGTGGCCTTGGGTCTCGTCCAGCGGCAGTCAGCGACACTCCAGGGGGAACCGGACCACCGGTGGCGCTGGAGCCGGCCGCAGCCGTGCGCCTCTGGAGCTGGAGATGAGTCAGGGCGGCGGCCTCCTGGAGCTAGTTTGGAGGGCCCTGCGCCGGCCGGCCCGGCCCGGCCCGGCGGGGCGCTGCTGCGGTTACGGTTTTATACATGCCGCTGGAGAATAACGTGATTTCGCTGGAGAAGCCAAAGCCAGCCGCGGCGTGCGGCGCGGGCCGGGCCGGACGTCGCAAAGGGATTCCAGGGCCGTGCGTCAGCAGCGTCAGCGAGGACCGACCGAGGAGGCTGAGCTGGACCCCGCGCCGCCCGGACAGAGACCAACATCCCCGGGGAGGACCCACATAAATAATGTTGAAATATCAAACGCAAAGGAGTGAGCGACAGCCGTGACACTGCACACAGAAACACGCCTTCCTGTAAACTTCCCACGGCTCCCTCCTGGACTAGTTCCGCCCCCCTGCGGGCGGGCGCGCCGGCCATCATGATGTTCCGCTGCGCCTCCACTACCAAACATCCGGTCGAGTGCACAAACGACACAAACTGCACCGCCATCACGCGGCAATAACAATCAACCCAGGAAAATAATATAAATATACACACAACAGCGCAGCGTCACCGTCG